TGGGAATTTAGGGTAGAACCTAGGTTTTCTAAAATTGTGGCTTTTGGACCTCAATTTGAGGTCCGATTCCAAAATAACTCACATATCTGAGTTCATGAGGGAATGGGTAATCGGGTTTTGGTTTGTAGCACTCTTTAGTAGTTCGTGAGATAGCGACTCCAGTCCTGGGTAGAGAAATATTAAACTTCCGCATTTTTGGGTTTTTCAGTTATCTATATTTTAAAGACTTCCGCGTTTATTTAAATGACCCGTTATATTTATATTGTTATAAAATCATTATGGGCCTAAGGCCAGCCTTAATTCCAGCATAAATAAAAATCTGAACCACTTCTTAGAGTATTTCAATTATGTATAATTCTTTAAATGGAATGAGGTGTGCCATCTTCATTAAATCACTTATGCCCTCACAAATGTCATGACTAGTTTTATTAATAATGAATAGTCGTAGAAAAGCCTTTAGGCGCGATTTAATTTACAATTGTGATTGTGTACACGTTCGTGTGACATAATTACGATTCAAAAATCAATTCGGAGTATGCGTTCGCGCAACTTCGACCAACTTCCTCAATAATAATAAATTTGTTATTGATATAGTCCTCTTCAATTAAATGTAGTTCTTTAGGCCGAGGTGCGCCATCCATAATTGAATCCCTATTGCCCTCGTATTAATTTATGACTTAGATATTAAAAATAATATTCGTAGTTTGCTTTAGGCACGTTTAACATACCATCGTGGTTGTCTACACGTTCGCGTGACATAATTACGATTTTAAATATAAAACCGGAGTATGCGTTCGCGCAACTTTGGCCTAACTTTCTTAATACTTATAAAGCGTTATTAATTTTGGACGTTCGCGTGACATGATTTTTGACGCGCCAAACAAATGGGTACACGTACGCGTGACCTGTTTTAAATTTCTTAATTAAAAAGGCAAATGCACATAGGTTCTAAAATCAGTAATTAAAGAATTTTAATGAGCCAAGTATGATCAAAGCGACCGTGCTAGAACCACGGAACTCGGGAGTGCCTAACACCTTCTCTCGGGTTAACAGAATTCCTTATTCGGATTTCTGTGTTTCGTAGACATTAAAACAGAGTCAAATCTCCTCGATTCGGGATTCTAAACCGTTGACTTGGGACACCATAAACTATCCCAAGTGGCGACTATGATCTTAAATAATAATTCCGTTTCGATTGTCACTTAAATTGGAAAAACCCCCTTATACCCCTTCCCGGGGGTAGGAAAAAGGAGGTGTGACAGTAGACTTCTAAGAATCTTTCTAACTTGATCACCACTTGAATATGGTTTGCCGAAGGCTTTTAGATCGCTAATTATTTTGATGAATCAGGCAAACATCTCTTCAATAGACTCTCCTTCTTTGATATATTTTTCCTATCACACTCACTTTTAAACCATTATTTTCATAAATACTTCCGTCCCATATATGTATTTTTTTTCCTTCAAAAAGTACCCCAGACTGAGGTCTGGGAGGTGTTGTATTTCAAAAAAGTGCAGTGAGGGGACCTATACCTTACCTTAATAACTTAATACAACATGGTAATTTCTATCAACCAAAAAAGGCAGTAGGAGGTGTACATTAAAAGTCCCCCCTACTGACAGTGCAATATATACATAATCAACTAACAAAAAAGTTGCACTTATCATATTTTGTTCTAATATTTATATGTATGCATAAGTCAATTTAGCACCTAGGTGTATGGCCTGGTGGTCAATAAAGGGAGTGAAAATCTTAGAGACCAAATTTCAAATTTCAATAGTGACAAAAAACTTTAGGTGATTTTTTTCTATCTAAGCCTTAGTGGCTAGAGTTGTTCGATGCCCGTGTTGGCGGGAGATAACATGTATCTGATGGAACAATCGAGGTGCACAAAGCTAGCCGAGACACTTGCTTTCTTTATGTCATCTGTGGCACTTGCATTTTGTAGTCGCGCAATTTTTATTGTAGCAAATTCATTGTTTCTCAGTGTGTCATAGTTACCTCATTTTTATTATGACCTCAGTAATAGTTTCTTTCCAGTTTGAAGCTACCTTTCACTCATTTACACTTTAACCCCCGGTTACTAAATCAATTTACTGGTTAATTATTTCGATTATCTAATTATACTTTTAAGTTGGCCATTTAACCAAATTCCAAACTGGAGAACCAGAGAGAAGTGTAGTAACATCTACGTTTTACTAGTTAGAGAATCAAATTTTCTAATATTGTTCCCAGATAACCAAAGTGTTTTTAAACGATTCTTGAAAAGTGAAACAAGACACTTAATTTGAATAGAGTAGTATTCAATAAAATTCGTAACTGATTTAAAGTTAAACAGACCCCACATATATAGACGCCAATAATGAATAAAAAGGCTACTGGTTGGCTTACTAACTAATTAGTATACAGTCACGTAAGCCCTGCGTTAGACTTTTTTGTAATCTCTTTTTGGCTGATATAAAGCTATTCTAGATCTTTACAAGGATTATGAAAAGGAATTGTCTAGTGCTGGAAGATCTAATATTGTTTGCCATGCAATATATGGGTATGTTTGAGCAACTTAACTATCGAAATATATTTTTTCCTTAATCCATTTCTCACTTTGTTTTACCTTGTATACGTCTTTTAGTGATCAGAAACTTGATACAATTCAATCAAAATTTTCTAACACTTGAACATATATATTTTGTATTCACAGATGAAAGAAGTAGTAAGAAATTATAATGTCGAGTCAAAAGGTTTATTGAAGGATATATGCCACCTGATTTTGAATACCTAAGCAATGCACAGGCAACTACTACATATTACTACCTCGCGACAACATCGTATTTGGGCATTAAATCCGTTACGGAGCAGGATTTTGAGTGGTCGTCAAAGAATCCTAATATTGAAATCTACTAAATAACATGAGCTTGCTTCCAAACGATCGGATTTATGCTTACAAGTTTTCAAATGGATTAATTTGAACGCTAACAGAGTTCCAAAAGAAGCATCAGAAGTGGTATATTTCAAGGCTCAATGGTTGAAGAGATTGAAGTATTGAAGGAACAAAATAGACATATATATTGAATTTGACTGACACTATTGAACGCCTTGGCATGCCTACCACTTTGATTAAGATATAGATGAGATTTTGGATCAGATTTACATAGCATTCTTTTCACTTGCTTTCTTTATATCCCCTCAGTTTCTTCATGATAAATACAACATCTAACCAATAAATATATAAAAAAAAAAAAATCCAGGTTATCCCTCAATATCATAAGGTTTTATGAATAATGTAATAGAACTGTTGAGCTAATGGAGTACTTGGTTTCTAAGCCAAAGCTCAGATAGTTACACATAGTTGTTCAGTTATTTTATTTAATTTGTTCATTTGAGCCATTTTGTACATTGGGCCGTTTTTGTGGTACTTGTATTTAGGGGCGATGTGCACAAATAGCCACTAACAGCTCTTGTCTTTATTTTAAAGCCAGTGTTTTAAATGTCTTTAGTCTTTTGCCACTGATTTAATAAACTTATACCTGACTGGACGAACATACCCTTCTGCTATAACTATACCTACGCATTTATACCTACGCTTTTATTAACGAGAGCAGTAGCAGCAACAGCGCTATATCACAACACTGATCATCGAAATTGCAGAAGATTCTCTTCCAATTTCGAACTATAGAATTCAACATTCTCATCCAAAAATCAGCATAGATATACAGTAAGTTATACTTTTATGCGTTTCTATTAATTTTTATTTCGACATAGTTATACTTTTTCCGATTTCTATTGATTTTTATACAGTAAGTAGATATTTGATTTTTTTTTTTGAATTTCTGGATTGATAAAGTTAAGGACATCGCGTCCTGTGATAATTCTATAAAATTGAGCACATAATATTAAGGACATAGTGTCCTGACTTTGCAAATTGAATTGAAAAAGTTAAGGACACAATGTCCTTAACTTTGTTGTTGTTCTTCTGTATATTAAGCACATACTGTCATAAGTTAAGGACACTTGGTCCTGAACTTTGAGTTTAAAGTTGAAAAGTTCAGGACACTTGGTCCTGAACTTTGACTTACATGTTCAATATTGATGGACAGTTGGTCCTTAACTTACAGTTATTAGTTAAAAAGTTAAGGACAGGTAGTCCTTAACTTACAGTTATTAGTTAAAAAGTTAAGGACACTTGGTCCTTAACTTTGGGTTTCAAGTTCAAAAGTTAAGGACAGGAGTCCTTAAGTTTGACTTGCAGGTTCAAAAGTTAAGGACAGGCAGTCCTTAAGTTTTAATTTCAGGTTCAAAAGTTAAGGACAGGCAGTCCTTAACTTTGAATTCCAAGTTTAAATGTTAAGGACAATGGTCCTTAACTTTGGGTTTCAAGTTGAAAAGTTAAGGACATGAGTCCTTAAATTTGACTTGCAGGTTCAAAAGTTAAGGACAGGCAGTCCTTAAGTTTTAATTTCAGGTTCAAAAGTTAAGGACAGGCAGTCCTTAACTTTGAATTCCAAGTTCAAATGTTAAGGACACTTGGTCCTTAACTTGGTCTTGAACTTACAGTACATGTTCTTAATTATACAAGGATTGCATTATACAATATGTCCTGAGTTTCCCATTCTTTTGACTTGTAGGATGGAAACAATATGCATTATAATTGCTTTTAATGGTAGATGGACTGAAGACTATAAATAGCTTGATCATCAAACAAAGCTTGTTATAGTACCTGAGGAAATTTGGTTTGAAGATAAACAGATCTCTGAAGTTATTGAATTGGATAGACATAAGTTTGAAGCAGTAATATGGTTTGATATCAACCTTGGAACAAGCAAGGGAGTGCTTGTATCCAAAGATTTAGATCTTAACACATGTATAGAGTTACTAAAAACTCATTCACTCTTCAAGGGCTGTCGTTTCATTGTTGATATTTCGGAAAGAGTTTTTGGATCAACAAGCAATGAACATGTCACACAGAAACTCAACATGACAATCAAAACAAATGTCAAAAAATAATGGAAATAGATATGGTTGAAGCTCAAGCAATAACTGAAGAGGGGCTTCAAACATATGTCAACAGAGAAACTCAACATGACAATCAAAACAAATGCCAACAGATAATGGAAATAGATATGGTTGAAGCTCAACCAATAACTGAAGAGGTGCTTCAAACATTTGATTCTATTCAAGTAGAAGGACAAAGCATTATAGAGATTGACAACGAACAAGCTTTGGGTATTCCAATCTTATAGAGTGCACCGGTAATCGAAGAAGTTGCTGAAAAAACCTCTACTCAACTAACTAGACGAAGATCAACTTTGAAACAAAAAGAATCCCCAACTACGATATTAAGAGAAAATGCTTCGTTGGATGAAATAAAAGTGGGATCAGTATTTGACAAAAAGAAGAGTATAATTAACTGTTTTTCGAATATAGCAATTAAAGGATATTTTGAATTCAAGGTTGTTAGATCAAGCCCAACAAGATATCGTTGAAATGCAATG